GAGAAGGTGAAGCAGAGGCCAGACAAGAGGGGAGAACATCAGAGGCGAGGGCGAGGGCGAGGGATAAAAAGGAGAGGCAATCAATGACAGATGAAACGACAGGCGAGGAGGGTTGAAGTGAAACTGGCGAACGTCACGAGTCTGGACTGGAGAGTCTGTAGTTGGGATAAAAAATCGATGTTCCTCTAGTTTGTGGACAAAGAGAGGGTGACTGGATTTCTCTTTCTGTCTCTAACGTGAGTGCAAAGCGACCGCAACTGCAACCGTGTCCGCTTTAAATGTCCACATTGAGAGGAGCGGTGAGATCGCGACCGCAAACATCGAGATCCAATTAAGAAACGGCTGCCTCGGCAACGAGTCTCCATGTGGCTGGGTAAAGAATAGCCTGGAGTCTGGTCCTCACAAGAGGGTAGGATGGCCAAGCGACGGGTTTTCAAAGAAAAGTTCTCGACATAAGCAACCCTAAGCCCATCCGAGAATTCACCTTGACTAACTCACTGACAGGCAGACATATTAGGCGAGGCTGTGTTTCGAAGACTTCCTTGATGAGTTATTGTGATTTGACGTCTCCTTACGAGAAAAAGCATAAAAAGTGATTGGGGTTGCAACCGGCGCCTTTTTCTCTTGGTTTAGTCTATTTTGGTGCAATTTCGTAAAGTGTGCATTTTCCCGCCATCATAAGGTCTCTGTCACGACAGAACAGACACAAGTTCAGCGACCTCATTGGACGATGAGTCGACGACTTCTTGGCCCTGTCCAACACTCTCTTCGCTCGACTCCGTGGCAATCCTGGTTCCATTTTTCGCCGACGCCAATTCATGCAGCCCTTTCAACCTATTTTTCCTGCAAAAAGAAAAGTTACTGACACAACAACTGACCTACTAATTGAATGAAGTAATGAACAACTCAATGGATGGATAGGGGAATTAATTGATTAATGCGTATATAAATACATGAATGAATGAATAAATTGATAGATAAATGAAGGAAGGAAAGATGGTAAGAGTAAAAGAATGAATATACTAATAGATCGGTTGATCTTAGGGATGATTGAGTTAATATATGTCGAGCACCCATTCAACAAATTCTTCACTTATCTGCCATCTGCTCATCCTCACCGCCAGTGGCCCAATCAGAGTTAGAGTCACGAAGTTTGCC